TAATGTAGGTTCAAGAAGAGGCAATCTTAAACATCTCTTCACTTTCTAAGGACAAACAACAGGCAAGAGATACACCAGGGTGCATGTTGCTCAAGCAGTCAAGTTGTTATACTATGGAATTCAAAACATGATTAATGAGGGCTGTTTGGGCATTTCTGCCTTTCATGTAGTTTTTGCAGTCCACTACTCTGGTCTGCACAGATTCAAATACTGTGTGCAAACTGAAACTTGCTCAGTTGCCTATTCTAATCACAGCTCCTGAAGGTCTCCTAGGGTTTGGAAGGGATTGTTTTGCTTCCAAAGTACAAGACAACAAATAAAAGCAGAGGGCGGCCACCCTCAGAATGCATGCACAAGAAAGGAAAAAGTGATGTAAATGGGGAAAAGTCAGGAGATGCAGAAAACAGAAGAAAAATGTAACCATTCAAGCAGAATCTCGCATAGGATAAATATATGGATGTACTCTCACAGCTTTATATGAAGCATGAGTAGCCTGTGTGCTGGGGAGCCCCGGAGAAACTTGCTGGATGTATATAGGTGGACCCACAACTGGAAGCAATAGGTATACTGTGGTATGTGCTGCAGAACTAAGGCCAAGAGCTGGTGGGCAAGAGGGATGGGAGCTCAAGCCCACATATAGAAAGAGACTGAGGCGGCTGACTATTTTTAGACTAGAACACTGGACATTCACAAGATGTTGCTTTAAACCATGTAGAAAGTTGAATGCCATCCATGAAACCAACCTGTATATTCTGTAGCAGAAGCTACTGAAGAGGTTGTAGATGCGTTTTCCCAATCCTTTTCCCCATTACGACTGCCACAGCGAGTTGGAGATAAAAATCCTTCCACAGATTCAGACCTAAAAGTTGTAGTTTTTAAAATAAATATTTCCAACTTATTATCAAGCGTTCTTAACATTCAAATAAAATTACGCAAGGTCTAACAATAACCAGTGTTCCCTCTAAGCTGAGTTAGTGTGAGATAGCTCACAGTTTTTTAGCCTTCGGCTCACACATTTTTGTCTTAGCCCAGGAAGGATGGCTCCAGAGCAAACTAACTTATGCATGAGCCAAATCGCTCACTCACAACTTTAATGCCAGTAGCTCACAAAGCAGAATTTTTTCTCACAAGACTCCAGAACTTAGAGGGAGCATCGACGATAACCACTATTGAAACCCAATCAAGTGACCTAAAAGCACAGTAATTTATCTACATTCCTGGGTGGCATCTGGAACAGGAGGATCATCAATCATAGTTTACCAGTAGACTGGGCTGATTTCTGATGACTGTCAAAAGACTTCACGCCCACCCACCCCTTTCCCCTGCAATGTAATCACAATGAATGAAAGGACAGAATACCCATGCACACCTTTGCCTTAAATCTTTCTAATATCTCCACTCTCATTAATTCCACTCTTTGCTGGTATCTGAGAAATACTGAGAAGACAATACTGGTGGGAATGAATAGTTCAAGTAAAGGGTGGGAATAATGACCTTAGAGAGATGGTGAAATGCTGCCATCTAGGTATCTGTATCTGAGCCATCTGTCTTTACTTTGCAAACTTAAAATGTACTCTACTGTAAATCCAATCTAATTTAGACAATTTAATTCAATTGTGGAATGTTCAGTGGTCTATAAGTTTACATTGATCAGTCTATTCACAGAACCAGTGGGCATGCAGTAGGCATGAGAAAAGCACTGAATGAACCCACAGATGTTGACTCCCAGCCTGTAGCAGTCATGTGTACTCAATTTTTTTGCATGCCAGTACAAAAACTGCATAATTCACTACAGGCTGGGGAGTTAACATGCATCTTGAGTGCTGCGTGATGCTAGTGTGAACCTGTAGCACTCAAATGAAGACTCGTCATTGTGTCAAATTATTCTTCATTATGTTTAAGAATTGCATCACTGAATGAGCACTGCTGTGCCAATCAAAAGACAACAATAATTTCTATAAAAAGGATGTGGTAACTGAAGATTTACCGTGGTGTTCTCTTGCCTGACTGCACACTGTCATTGTCTCCTGTGTTCAGAGATGCCAGTGAAAGGCTAGATACTGGAAGGGGGGAAAATCAATAAAATAGTAAACCTAGTGAAATACAAACAAGTTCAGATACAAAAGCTGCATTCAGATTTGTAGGCAAAAAACAGTTTGTTACTTTGCTAAATTTAGACATCACAAGTGTCTTGCATCACACCAGGAATTCTTCAGTAAGTGCCCCACATTCAGGGAAGGAGGCAGAGAATAGATGAGATGGAGGACTTTAAAGGCTTGCCTTTGTCACCAACAAATGGTTTATTCTGCGGGTAGCCAGGGTATTCATAAGAAAGTGAGGTTCCCCCACAAATTCTTGCAGATTTTCCATCTGTAACTGGGCCCGGGCTGGCCCCTTGGGAGAGGACAGCAGGGTGAGGAAAGAAGGGAAACCTGAAGATGGGGCAGATTAAGGTAGGTTGGTTGGAGGTAGGAAGGAGAAAAGGGAGCAGGAAAAGGGAAGAGGGCTATGGGGGCTTTCAGGGAAGAGAAAAAAGAAATAGTGGGGGAAGGGGAAATGAGATGCCCCTTGCAAATCCTTGTGGGTGCCCTGTTTGTTTTATCTACATCTTGGAACACTAAAGTGCAGGCATACACTGAAACAGATCAATTATAATATGAATTAAGGTTCTCAGCTAAGCACCTCCAGGCAGGGGCAGGCTGGCCATTACAGAGTCTGCGGAATTTCCCAGCAGGTCGATGGCCTGCCGCCACTGGAGCCAGTCCAGCCCAGGGTCGAACAGCTAGGTGCAGGGCCCAGTGAAGATGACTCCTGGCCTGGGCAAGCCAGGTCTAGGGCCCAGCAGACCTGCAGGGCTGTCTGGCTCCTTCTCCCTCCATTGGTGGAATGTTTGTCCTAAGCAGAATCACTACTATCCACAGAGATGAGCATCTAGCTAAAGCAGAATGTTCCTGTATTGATTCAGTTCACGGAGTGTTTATTTGGGGAGGTCTGCTGCACAGCATCTCAGCTGCTTTAGGTCTGCTGGTAGTATTGTTTGTTTGTTCTGCAGGTAGTATTATAGCCCAAGAATGGCCAGTGGCACAAGCCGATGGGTTCTTGGCTCGTGACTCACAAGCAGTAGCTGTTGAGTGATTGGTGGTCTGTCTCAAAGTGCACATCCCTGTCCTCAGTCTAAAGGTGAGCATCTAAATATAGATGGGAGGGAAGAATAAGTGCAATGGTGGCCTATTGCACTCCTTAAGTTTCCTGGAAAAGCAAAAGGTTGATTACTCAGCACTTAAAGCCAAAGCTGGTTTGTTACCTGGAGGACCTTTGATTGGAGTCTTGGGTGATTCAATATGATCTCTATGAATAGATTTTGGTCGTGGCTTTTTCTGTTTGGATGAATGGGGGCGGGGCTTTATGACAATGTCCATTTCTTCCATGAGTTTTAGCTGCTTCCGCCTCATATATTCTTGTTTAATGAACTCTCGTCGTGCTTTTTCATCTTCCTTCTTCTGACGTTCTTCCTCAGACTTCCTCCTTAGAAATTCAAGTCACTATTAGCAAAAACATTCTTCTTGCACAAGCAACAAAAACGGCAGCAGCAATAATTGTGACTTTTTAACAGTGCTGGCAAAATACCAGATACATTTCCAGAATGTACTCAGTTTTCAAATGTTAGTGTAATAACGTATCTTCACTTTCATACTTAAGATTTGTGGGGCAATTAATAATTTCAGGAAAATTTAAAAGACAGGCAAAGTCATGAAATATCCAGTGGGACTAGAAATAATGGAAGAAAAACCAGCGAGTTCTCCCTTTGATGATCAGTAGCACCAGTTCTACTAGCTAATGTTAAAATTTATCACAACATTTCAGTTAACAAAACTTTAACACAGCATGTGTTTGTATGAACTTGAGGCTTATTTGGTTTTTAGTAAAATTCAAAGAGAAAAACTCAAGATATTTAACTATGAACTATATTAAGATTTGTTCAACAGAATATCTAACTCAGTAGATTCTGATCAAACAGACATTGCTATTTAGCTTGTAGGAAACTATGACATTTAAAATTTATACTTTTAAATTCCAGACACACATCAAATAGTACAATGTTTGAGCAATATAAATCACATCATTTATAATATAGTTAAAATATAAATTACTATATTACAAATTACGTGTTTTATGTTGTTAAAACAGTAAAATAGGTTTAGGCTTGATAAGAAAATACCGCATATATTTCAAATTCCTCCCAAATTTCCGCAACCTCTCCTTTCCTTGGTTTCCCCCATGGCTTCAAAATTTCTGGAAATTTTATAGTACTACTTCCCCAAACAAAGACAGACATGGCCATTAGTTGCCAAAATTGGCTCTTTCATATTAGAATTTTTAAACATAGTAATTGGCCCTTTCATATTAGAATTTTTTAACATAGTATATAGAACATCAGATGGGAGACTTCTTGGAGGAAGGATCACTTTTATGACACAGCAGATAGTATATAAAAGCTAGTTTGGACTTTGAATGCCCAGTTAATCTCACTTTGTTTCTTCCTTTTTATGTTCCAATTCCGTTTCCAGCTGCTGCTTTCGAAGTAAGGTTTCTCTTGCCCTTCTCAATCGCTTCTCCAATAATGCAGCCCGTTTTACTGCCATATCATCTTCAGCCTTCTGATCATCCTAATAGCAACATTTATGAAAAAATGAAATCCACTGAGAAGACTCAGGTAAATCCTTCACTGAGCCTTCCCCTTCCTCAAAGATCTCCAGTATGCTAACTTTTCTTTAGATCTGCTATAAGTTTAGCAATAACAAAAAGGAATTGCTTTCTGCCTTGCTACATTAGTACAGAAACATCTCATGATTTATTTAGATATTTATATTCTCCCCCTTTCTCACTAACAGGGAACAAAAGTGGCTTATGACACAGTTCTCCCATCCTCCATTTTATCTTCACAACAACCCTGAGGCAAGCAAGGCTGAGTGAGAGTGACTGGCCCAAGATCACTCAGCAAACTTCTATGATGGAGTGGGTTTTGAACCTGGGTCTCCCTGGTCCAGGTCCAACACTCTAACCATACCATACTGGCTCTCACTTATGATGTTATGATCTCATGATGTACTCACCTTGAAAAAGAATCCACAACACACTTTTTGGTCATCCTCCAATTGCTCCTTGTCACTCTCGCCCTCTGATTTCTCAACAGACTCTTCAGACTTTTCTGGTGGTTTCAAGTTTGAGAGGGGGACTTCTATGAGGTTAGCAGTTTTAGATAGAGGTGGTGGCAATACTGGTGGGTTCAGTAGCTCTTCACTTGGAGTGAGGCATACAGTTTCAGTAATGGGCTGTGATAGTACTTCAGATACTGTGGATTCCAGAGGTCTGATCTGGTTTTCCTCTGATTTTTGTTCAACGACTTCTTCTGTCGCTTTTTGTTCCACTTCTTTCTCACCGCCTCCTTCCTTGTCAGCTTCCTCAGTTGTATTTCTGACCCCTTTCAAAAGGCTTCCCTTCAAATGAGGTTCACATATACGTTCACCGTCATCTCCAAAACAAACAAATGATCTAGTCTGAATGGATACCTGACTTGGAGAAAATCTTCTCAAACGAGGAAGACTATCCACAGATCGTGGAGCAGTCAAAGTGCGATTCAAAGGTGTTAATTTCAGCTCATTTGGCCTAGGAGTCCTTTGTATTTTACTAGGGAGAGTGGAATTCTTCCTGGAAGATGACTGTGGGGACTGGTGGGAAGGTCGGGGAGATTCCAATGAAAATGAGGTGATGGGAGATGACCCAGTAGATCTCAGAGAAGATTTAAGCTCCCGAATTTGTTTCTGGGGAGAAGGCTGAGGCGGTGAAATAACCCAAGCTTGCTGTTCCCTCATCTGCATTAGCATTTCTTGCTGAAGTGATAACCGTTGCATTTCCTGCTGCAGGAAATGTAGGGAAGAATTGAGCTTTTCAATAGATTTTGTATACTCCAAAAGGTCACCTTCATTGATGTTCTCTTCTGAAGGACTTGCCAAATTACATTGCTTCTCAGAATCAACTGGAGTACTTGGGGACTTAAGCCATTTGGCATGGGGTTTTTCAATGCTCTCCTTTATTTTCTCTGAATCCTTGTTAAGCTGTTCACCTAGCTTTAGTGTTTCTTTTTCCTTCAGCTTGCTGTCAGTAAACACTTTCTCATCCTCTGCTCCAGCCGCCTCTTCTCTCAGTGGAGAAATCCCATCACTTTTCTTTTTTACAACATTAAGGAATGCCGTTCTTCCCATTTTTTGCCTCTGCCTCGTGAATGCAGCCTCAACTTTCTTCTTCTGGGCTTCAATTGCTCGCCTCTTCTCTTCCAGCTTCATCTTCAACTGTACCATTTCAGAGGCCAGCAACTGTGTAGTGTCTCTTCCCTGAGGGAGAGGAGATTCCTCGGGTATTTGAGCCCAGGAAACTATGTGAGGAATGTTCAGCTCAGAGCCTTCTGGGGTTGTTTTCTGAGAACTGCTTCCACTGCTTCTGCTGTCTGTGTGATTAAGTTTCTTAAATTTCTGTTCCGCAAAGCTGGTCATTTTGACTCCTGAGCTTGAAGAAGCACTACTTCCTGCTTGGGATTTGGCACTTATTGAGCTTGGACAAGGACTTAATTGCTCCTTTTGGTTGACACCTTTGCTATCAAAGTCATGCAGAAATCGAGATGATTCTTCCATATCAGAGTCAAGGCTTACAGTATAATCCCTCAAGGTAGAATCTTCATCCATAGTCTCTGGAATGTCTGAAGGGACGTGGATTCCCGTATCTGCTTCTGTATTGTCAGTTATGGGACTGAGAGCACCCTTTGTGTCTGCAATTTCGGGACTACTCTGATCGGGTTTGATGTTTGAATTCAAAATGTTCATCTCCTTGTTGTGAAGGAAAAACCCATTTGTAATTTGCTGTGGCTGAGTAACACTGGGAGATTTCTCAGTATCATGGATAATTTGCAAAGCCTGTTCAATGCTTGGTGCCTCAATCTGATTGCCATATTCATCAGTTACTAATCTGTTTTGCAGTGCTCCATTTGGGAGGTTATATGGGCTAACTTGGTTGGTATTCCTTTGATTACTATTGATGTCTGGACTACTGTGAAAGTCTCCATCCTTTTCTTCTTCAATATCCTCACTTTCATCTTCTCCATTCACAGGCTTGAAGGACAGGTTTTTTCTAATATGTCTGGGCATGCAGTCAGTATTCTTCTCAAGACCTTCATTACTAATGGATCTAGTCATTACTCTGTTTGGATTTGTGATACGGATGCTATCTTCTTTGTCAAAAGAAATATCAAATGAAACTCCATGCACTGAAGATCTAAAAGAGATTAAATTGATAAAGTCTTTTAAATAACCTCATATCTTAATATTTTAAAGAGTGTCTTTTGTAACTCTGCTGCAACATTAGGTGCTTCTCCTTCAACTCCTCCTTTAGCTTCCTTATATGATCCCAGACAACCAAGAAATCACACCGAAAACACAATAATGTTACAAAATAAAGTAGCCGCTCAGATTTAGTTACTTGACAGCAAAGAGGGCAAATAAAATTGAGCAAGAACAGTTCTTCACAGAGTGGTCACATGGGGGCAATCCCTCCCAGTGGGATCACTAATTGCCCTCCATCTGAATCAGTGAATGCTTTCAAGATTCTTTTGTTACTGTTCCCAAACAATTCCCAAGCAAACTGACCTTGCCCCCAATCCATTCAACCCTGATAAAAACTGATAATACAGTTATCATTTTAATGCATTACATTCACCCAAGAATTAGAATCTGATTTGTGCATATTATGAATGTATTGCAAGTAAAACAACAACAAAAAACCCCATGACAAATGTTGTGACTTCAATATCATTATATGATTTCTTGAATATAAAAATTCCTTCCCAAGAAGGAACTTCCTCCCTGAGCACACTCTTAGTGATTGATAAATGGAGCTTGCAAAATAAGAAAATAAACTTAAGCCATAAGAACAGGTCTCCAATAGTACTCCCAGTGTTATCTTCTGTGTTAAAACAGCAGAATAAAATTACCAATGCAGTAATTGCTAAAATAGCACTATGCCAAGACAGGTAAACTCATGGAGATGCAGTAAACATAATGCAAAGTTATAAATTAGTTCACATGCAAGTTACACACAGTCAAGGATGAGAATGAGCCTTGGATATGTGCCACATTTCCTGCAATACACAGAATCTTTAATACAAAGAGTCTATACACAGTGATGGGTCTACATGTGTAGGTTTTGCTAACATAATCTATCCTCCATCAAGTGTGTGTGTCTGGGAGTTCAGTAATATAGTTCTTGCAAAATGGGGCCTATTTGACTAGATGTGTTCATACACAGGTCATCGTAAAGACTCTATATATGATTGGGAGAGAACATGGAAGCCCAAAGCTCACTCATGTGCTCACCCATGTGCATAAAGGACCATCTACTTCCACCTGAGCCCACTTGTGGCACTTCATTTATGGGAATACCTCCCTGCACCCAGTCACCTGGCATCTGTTTTTTTTTTTTTTATAGTAACAGGTGTCAGGTGAAAATGTCTTTTTGTAGAATTTAAATTTGTCTTCTGCTGCCCCTGGCTTGGTCTTGCTGCTGCCATTTGACTGATTTATTTTATTGTCCTATGAGTTTATATTTATTTTGATTTTTGAATGTTGGTAAGCCATCTTATGAATCCTATGAGTTGGCAGGCATTATAAGCATAATGTAAATAAATAAGTAATCATGCTGGGTGTGAAATGTTTTCCAAGTCAGCAATCAAGAACAACATAGGAAACCCAAATGTTTGCAAGATCCTCAACTTGACAAATGGCTTACCGTTTTTCTTTGGGCCAAGTCCCTACATATCCATCCACATAAGACATAGATGTAGATCTTCTAATGTTGCCTGCTTGAAACCAATACAAAATGTAACATAAATGTTCATTCTTGGGAAATAAAAAATAATAATAATCTAAAGGAAACATTTTGAAAACAGATCAAATTTGTCATATATTAAGACAACTGAAAATGGACTTCTAAGATCAATGCAAACTAAAAAGGTTACATACATTAGTTATATGCTAAATACATTTGTCAGTAAAGTAACATCGTATGCACATCTATATCTCTGTACAATATTATCCAGTTAAAACTCTGAGCTCAAATAGCCAAATTCTCACTAACATCAATTAATTTGGAATCATATCCTCCTATTTACCTGAAAGGAAGACTAAGCTTTTTCTCAGGAATGCTGTCAAGAAAAATAGAGGGGCCTCTTAGATTCACATAAAAGTTATAGGAATTTATGGCAACAAAAATCTGTTTGCATAGAACCTTTTTAAGGGGGTTATCTTACACATTCAGAATCGTCTACCTTTCAGGTAATGTAGGATATACTTCAGCCAGCTGTATTTAACATCATTGCTTATTTGCAACAGAATCTTCCTTCTCCTGTTTTTTTTAAAATATAAGCTTTATAATCTCTTTGTTTCTTTTTAGTATGCTGAAAGAGGGGCTGGGCTGTCTTCAGTTTTGTTTTGTTTTTCTTTTTAGCAAACGAGAGCAGCAAGAACAACATTTTGGTACCTGAGAACATAAGAACATAAGAGAAGCCAAAGTTGGATCAGGCCAATGGCCCATCTAGTCCAACACTCTGTATCACACAGTGGCCAAAAATACCAGGAGCCATCAGGAGGTCCAGCAGTGGGGCCAGGACACTAGAAGCCCTCCCACTGTTGCCCCCCCCCCACAAGCACCAAGAATACAGAGCATCACTTCCCCAGCCTGAGAGTTCCTATCTATACCGTGTGGCTAATAGCCACTGATGGGCCTCTGCTCCATATGCTTATCTAATTCCCTCTTGAAGCTGTCCATGCTTGTACCTTATTTATTTACGGTCCTAAAATGATGTCAGCATCTAACCTGAACAGAGTCATTAACATGTTCAGCAGCCCCACTACTTTTATCAATAATTTCAGGCCCAATCTAGTAATTTCAGGGCATGCATGCTGCATTGCATAAGGTGGTGTGAGACTTTAAGAAAACAAGCAAACTTAAAACAAGTTACTTTGCATAGGAATAAAAGTTCAACATTCCAGTGTCATGCTGTTACCTGGAACAGATGAATAAGGCTGACTGTAAGTATTCCTAACAGGTGGAATCTGGTGAGATGGTTTAAATGTTGGTCCAGCCACACTGGGGGGGGGGGGGAGAGAAGAAAAGACACACACACATGCTGTTATAGTTACATCTGAAAGCCATTTGAAGACTATCTGAACACGGTGGGGCTGCATTCAGATTTCATGACAGATCTCTAGCTGCTTCTTTCACACAAACTAGGATTCTAACCGTGGTGTTATCCCAGTTTAGAAACCCTGTGTGTGTGTGTGTGTGTGTGTGTGTGTGTGTGTGTGTAACTTGCCCAGGTCCCTATATTCAAATATCATGGCAAATAAGAACTTGAAGGTTTCTGAATCCAGGAAGACTTCAAATGCACTCTGAGTACAGGAAAGGGAGTGCACGAACAGGGCAACGAGCAGTGTATACACCTCTCGTAGTCAAACAGAGGTTGGTAATGGTGTCTGAATGTTTGGTGTCTGAATTTAGGGCCGAAAACATCGATACATCAGGACAACTGAAATTATTTTGTCAAGATTTAAAATGTTGATTTTTATCTGGAGCTGCAGCCTGAGAGAAAGCATTCTCATTGGAGGGTGGATTGATTTTAAAACAGTAATGTAATTCACCAAGCAAACAAGGGAGGGGCTGTGGCTCACTGGCAGAGCACCTGCTTGACACGCAGAAGGTCCCAGGTTCAATCCCCAGCACCTCCAGTTAAAAGGATCAGGTGGGAAATGATGTGAGACACTTCAGCATGAGACCTGGAGAGCTGCTGCCACCCTGAGTGGACAATACTGACTGCGGTGGGCAAAGGGTCTGACTCAGTAGTGGGCAGCTTCACGTGTTCAAGCCAAATTAAATCTATTTAAACCAAACGTTGCCATTTAATATCAAGATACTTCCTGAAAGTGTGTACTGATCAGTTCTTATAATGACACGAATATACTGATTTAAAGCTGAGTACAGCCTTTATACAGCACATGAAAGCTTATACCAGAGGTGTCAAACTCATTTGTTACAAGGGCCGGATCTGACATAAATGTCACTTTGTTGGGCCTGGCCATCTGTGCCATAAAATGTAACACCATTTATAAAGGACATAGGCAAACCCAATTAACAATATTATTTTTTACTCAAAATACAAACAAAAGCAATTGGTTCCTAGCAGTGAAAGCAACTGATTTACTGGGGAATCCACAAAAGCCCTGATATGCAAGATTTGTTTCTTCCCCAACGGCTACCATAAAAGGGTGAGTGCCTTACATTTCCATACATATCAGTTGCTTGCGGGCCAGGTAAGAACCCTGGATGGGCTGGTTCTGGCTCCCGGGCCTTATGTTTGACATCCCTGGCTTATACCTTGAATAAAATGTTGTTGGTCTTAAAGGTGCCACTGGACTCAAATTTTGTTCTGCTGCTTCAGACCAACATGGCTACCCACTTGAAACAGCCTGAAGGGGTACAGTATAAATTTCCGAAGTGAAATACAATAAAAGGCTTAATTTTAGGTAACTTACAGCTTATGACTCCCAATATAGTCTTTTAAAGCCAACAGCATTTTTAACGTGAAAAAAAAATAGACTACCACTGTGTGAGCTGTTTCCAAGGCAGTCACAATCCCTCCACTTTATTTCCAGCCCCAGCCTTTTAAACTGAAGAACAAGCTCCACAGCATTTAATCTACATTGCAATAATGTTCTTATGGTACATTTTCAGTGCGTTTCAGACTGTGTTCCTAGGAGCGTTTGGGTTCCCCAGAAGCTTCCCAAGAGTTCCTCAATGAGATGGTTAGTAATGATAGATAAGCTTCTTTTTAAAAACATGACATCTTTCCTTGCAAACCACAGCCTTAAAGGAGGGCATGTTCTCAGTCTGTAAGAGCCAGGCTTAACAAATGCCACAGGTACCCCTCAGTCTTAGAATAAGCCCCATCCTTTTCTACAACACATAATCTGAGGTAATAATACATTTCATGAAAGGGCAAAATCATGCCCCATCTGTACATCTGAATAATGGTCACCACTGTTTGCTCTGAAATACCCCTTTAGAATTTTCCTTTGTTGTAGCTGCTGTGCCACAGCTTAGGAATCACTGATCTGTACAGACAAATTCCAGTGGGGTAACACCCCCTTTTGTCAGACACATACATTGGCTGAAGTGAGCTCTGGCTGATGAAAGCGTACACCAAAATAAATGAAAGTCTTTAAAGGGCTACCAAGAATTTGTTATGTATGACCTTGTGAGAACGTATTACAGGACTGTTTACAAATATGTATGTGCTAACCAAGTGTACTATCCTCTTCTTGCTGTTGGCAAGAAAAACAATTTAACACATTACTACATTTGTAAGGTATGATTCATATATTCTCCTTTACTATTTATGGAGTGACAGCTTGGATGGCAGAGGGCTGTTTCCTGTCTTTGGGAACCTCAGTAGAGTGGCAAAGTGGGGGTGCACGGCACTGCAAGGTACATTTCCTTTCTCTGGTGCTTTGAGTACCTTGCCCTTTATACTTGAAAGAAGGGAGAAACAGGTAGTTAGACAATGAGCTTTGCTAACTCCTCTCACCATTTATTTTTTTAAAGGAGCCAAAAAGCAACATTCCATCATGTCTTGGTATGTAAATGAAAACAGAAATGCTTTGGGAATTACCTGCCTATTGGGTCAGAACTATGTGAAGCGTCTGAATAGCTCCTTCTACTGGCACTTGCTGCAGGAACAGAAGATGTTTCTTTTGGAGGTTCAGCTAAAATATTGACAAACATTTATATGTTATTCTGAGGTAGGAGAAGGAAATCAAGTTTTTAAGACAAGGAACACACACTGATTTCCTGTTCATTTCGTTGTATTTGGTTGCATGAACAGTCAACTTGCAATAATGGACAAAGGAGTGTTCTGAATTCCAGGGCATGCTGGTGATGTGGGAATCCTACTACAGAAGGGATGTCCCTCCCATGAACACTCTCTATCCACATTGTTCTGCTCATCCAAGGTGACTTTCATATGACAAATTATTTGCGCAAATAAGTTGGAGGATAACAATGCTTGAATCTACTCCATTGCTTAATTCCTCCTGCTTTTACCCACTTTGGGGGCAACTATCTGAAAATCAAGGATTCTGTCTTGTTTTACCTTATATCTTTGTTCAAATTATAGGCAGAGCGCATAGAACTGATGCACTTATACAATGAAGTGCAAGATTGTGTCTACACATGCTGGAGTGTACCTCAATATAACATCTAACTGTTGAGTACAGGCTCAACAACATGCAGTCCCCATCACTGCCACAATTTTGACAACTAAAGGTTAGGCATTATTAGATCTATGTATGTACATGGTGCATTCATATGGGCTCTGGAGCAGATCAATATTATTTTGCTGCTCCACCACGCATTGATTCTACTAGATTTGCCTGGTATCTGAACAGTGCAACATTTTGAGAATGGTAAACTGTCTTTCCAACTTGTTATATTTGGGCTAGGAAATTGTTAAGATTGAGGGACCAGTTTAGTCCCCAGAGTCTTCCTATCTGCTGGGCCCCCTAGAACAACACCTAGTTCTAAGGGCCTGCATACTACTCATCTGAGCTACTTTTTCCCAACCTGAGACATATGCAAAGGCTCTCTAACTCATTTGTCCCGAGTGCCAACAAGAGCTTTGGCAGAGTTCTCCCCTTATGTACCTTACCATGACACAAGAAAATGGGACTGATCAGTTGAGGTGTATAATGGGAGAATTTTTCCAAAGCTGTGGTTCCCGTTCACAATGGGAAGAGAAAGGCTAAAAAGCTGCTTGCCTGGGCCCCAGTGGGTGCATGCAACTCTGGAAGACATACAGGATTCTCCTTGTGTCTCAGTGGGAATAAGCAAGACAAGCAGTCTTCATCACAGGGCTGTAGCTAGCAGTGGGGCGCATGGGGCGGTGCCCCCTGTTGAATTTGCAGCACTCCACATCTCCTGATCCCCCCTCCCCAAGAGGGGGAGGGAGCCTGGGGCAACGGGCGATTACCACGCTTGCTGCCAGGCTGAGTGAGGGGGGCAGGGCTGCAGCATGCGTCAGCAAGTAAAAGGAAGGTATTTAAAGAGACACATGTCTCTTTAAATACCCTCCTTTTACTTGCTGACTCAGGGAAGAAAGGGAAGGAGCCTAGGGCATGCCTGCGCACCTTGTGGGAGGGCAGAGCTGCTACAAGCCACTGTCACACAGGAGTTAAATTAAATTAAATTAAATTAAATTATGCCCCCGCCCAATTCTGGCTATGGGGCTGCTTCATCCGTTCAAAATATAATCCCTATTAAAAAGTAGTTATTGACCTCAGGTCTTTAAAAATCCACATTATTTTAACCCAGTCCACAGAATATACATAGTTAGGTTAACAAGAAATGCCTCAAAGATTACCTTGGGGATGAACGACTACTCGAGGCTGAACAAATGATGGCTTCACTACTTCAAACCACCAAAAGAGCTCTGCCATGAACACCAAATAATTGCTCTGTAAGAAGAGGTAGAAGCTTAAGTTAGTAGTATAACAAAATCAAAATGAAAGTTTGCCTAGAGAAAACCGAGAAAAGATCATATCTAGTTTTGACTGCATCTGCTTTGTATTAAAAGATGACTCATCATGATAGAGCAGTGTTACAAACTGGATGACAAGGTCTTTTGAAACCATGGTCCTAAAAACTATTTGTGAATAAAATAAAATTAAAAATAGCCCAAAAATAACACCTCCTGTTTCCTGTATTTATCTGCAAGGAGAGTAGTGATGCAGGTACCTTAACACAATTGTTAGAGCAGCCAGACTACCCCCCCACACACACCAGTGTTCCCTCTAAGCTGAGTTAGTGTGAGCTAGCTCACAGTTTTTTAGCCTCCGGCTCACTCATTTCTGTCTTAGGAGGGATGGCTCCAGAGCAAACTAATTCATGCAGCAGTCAAATCGTTCACTCACAACTTTAATGTCAGTAGCTCACAGAGTAGAATTTTTGCTCACAAGACTCCACAGCTTAGAGGGAACATTGCCCCCCCCCACACACACACGCAAGGCAGCCTGACAAACAGACAGGGCTAGGAAGACCTCAGTGGAGGAAGTGGAAGTGGCAGTAGCTGGTAAGCAGGAAAGGGCAACAGATCTGTGTTGAGGCAGCACTGAATACTATGGCTTTTTTAGTGGCTTGCCCAAGCTGAGCAGAAGGGAGGAACATTGTCGAGCGAACCATTCAGTGATATGTTCTTATGCACAGATCCTACAGTAGAGGTAAAGGTACATTGCTGTGGTGTCCATGCTCCAACTAAGGAAACCTTAATCAGATTGATGTAGTTGCTTTTTATGTGCCATTTTAAAACTGTAAAGATGGCTAAATTTTATATACACCTTCTAGATTCTGAGACACATTCAGGATTCTAGCCAGACTGCAAAACTGCTTTTATTTAGGCTCACTAAATAATAGATAACGAATATTCATCTGGCCACAAGATGGCAATACAAGGAAAGATTAAATCGCTGTTTTACAGGTAGTCTCCTGAAACTGAGAGGGAAAGGTATCCTGGTTCCTGAACTCTTCCAGAAAACTATTATTCATTATTACGGAGTTTTACTTCAAACTATTCCAATATTTTAAAGAGGATTTTGTCTTTAAAAAAGGGAAAGGAAAAAGCATGACAGGAAACTGTTTTGATGAACTAGCTACAGCTGTTGGAATGAGACAAGGCCTATGCCATACAACCAGTGGTGTGGGGTGAAAAGCTTTCCAGAAATTTTTCCAATAGAAAAAAATTCTGCCCCACATATGTGAATATAGTCTGTTTACAGTTGTCTGGGCTGTTGCACTGAAACGCAATCATATTAGATGGGCTAAATGTGGGATATAAAGCATGGACAAAGCTTAGTGCTTGTACATGGTGTATTTACTTCTTCTTTTTTGCTTACCATTGTTTTAATTTTGCTAACATTATTTAAATATGAATAGGAAAATTCTCTGATTCAATATTTCCCAGAAAACTTACATCCCTGCATATTATACCACGGCTCACCAAGAGGCATATCCACACAACTTTGCATGCAAACTCTCTTATTTATGTCTATAAGGTCACTTCTGCATAGGCAAGCTCCTCTGCCTCAAGCAACTAACAGCAATCGTTCCTCTCGCATAGCTGCAGAGCAATTCCAATGAAAAAGTGATTTGGGGGAACAAAAGGAGGGGGTAGGGAAAAGGAATACTTTTCTTTTGTTCTCAGGTAGCACAGGTCTTCTCCAAAAGACACCCCCTTACCTGAGCCTGCCTAGATTATTCAGATCCACACACGCAACCAGCACAACTCAGTGCAAAGCAGTTGGGGGCCAGGCCGAAATTTAGACACGGAAGAATTACAAGGGGCCATAAGGGGAGCGTATCTAGTCTGGGCCATTGGCATGATATTTTTCCAGCTCAGTCAAGAATACAGATATTTTTCGAGGTCGAACGACCAATTATGAAGATAGCTCCCTCCCCCACCCCACTGAACGGGAAAAAGGCGAGCGGGGGAGGGACGCTTCCCATGCGCATGAACTTTTGAGCGATTGAGGGGGGGAGCGGAAGAAAACGCAAAGGAAACTGCCTAGAAGTACTTACCAAAGTGAATCTAAGTGGTCAAGCACACATTCAGAGACTTTTTAAAAATTCGCGAAAGTAAACAAACGATAAACATGGCGGGGAAGAAGGACAGAGAAAAACTTTTGAAAGCGAAAGGGACTGAGAGCCCGAAACTGGAAGTTACCAGTGAGGTGGCAAAGTGTGTAGCGGACTATATGCGCCCTCTGCTGGAACATCTGAATAACTTCAAGGAACAGATGTCTATAGTGACTCAAAGCATTACTGCACAAGAAACCCAAATAAACGATTTGATACAAATAATGAAGCAAGATGCTGAGAAGGTAAAGGAAGTGGCTGTACCTATCCAGAAGGTGAAGAAAAAAGTGCAAAAGCTGGAAAGAAAACAAATCTCCATGGAAGATCAACTGTTGCAAGTTCAAATGGAAAAGGCCAACATGATCCTTCGTTTCCAGGGCATGCCAGAGAACAGAGGGGAGAATCTTAAAGAAGTGATGAGTGAATTGCTAGCCCCAGTGACAGAAATGAAGGCGGAATTGTTGCTGAACAATATGGATGTGGTCTATAGATCATATTCAGGCTATATAAAGAAAAATAATCTGCCTGGGGAAATTGTTGTAAGATTCTCGAAGAGGCATGTGAGGAATGCAATCCTGAAAGCGGTTGCTGGAACACCCCTGAAAGTGGGGGAAAATACTATCAGAACACCAAAGGATATTCCATTTGAAGTAAGACAACGGAGAAAGAAGTACAAAGAGCTTGTGTTTTTTCTTCAGACAAACTCAATTAGATATAAATGGCTATTTCCAGAAGGCGTCATTTTCAAGATTAAAGACAAAAAAGAAAAGATTGACTCTGTTCAGAAAGCTCAAGAATTTCTAAGGGCTCAGCTGGGAAGGCCAGAGGACGGGGAAAAAAAGAGGACAGCAAGTCCAGTGGTGAGCTAGATTCTGGCTCTTCCGGAGAGGACTCTCTGTCAGAGCAGGGGGCAGCAGCCCCAAAAAGTCCTTATAAGCTGCGGAAGAGAAGGGGAAAGAAGAAGTAAAGGCTGAAGGACTCTGAATTGTGCCTTTGAGGCTTTTATTTATTTATTTATTTATTTCATTCCATTTATATCCCACCCTCCCCGCACGCGGGCTCAGGGCTGCTTACAAGGCACAAAGTGCAATAAAAACAAATTTTGATATGGGATGATTGGGGGTACTGTTTCTAGACGGTTAAATTTAAGCTTTAAAGAAAAAGTGTTATAAATGTTTGACTCAGTTTATAAAAGGATCAATGATGGGAAGACCTGATGTAACTAAGCTAGTTGGAGGATCTCCTCTCTTGGGTTTTTAGTTAGTAGTGGGTTCTTTACTTTATCCCGTATATGTAGTTTCCCCTCCCTTTTCTTCTGTTGTAGTTTTTGCAGTGATAAAAAGTAATAAAAAATCCCCTCCGGGGGCTCAAAAGAAAAAAAAAAAGAATACACAGATATTTTCCAAGAAATAAAAAAAATATATAAAAACCCTTCATTCCTGTCAAAATACTGAGGGAACAGCCTTTTCATAATTACTGTGTAGGATTGTTTTGCCACTTAACACAGTAGTATTACCTTTAAAGCTAGAACAGATTTTCCTTCAAATCTGTAAAATCTAGATCACAAGATTACTCAAACTTTTCACCATATAAATACCGACTTTAAAACCATGGACACCACATGTTATACCACACACAGCTGAACAACTATACCATGGAAAGCTGCTTAGGAGCCTCAACTCTGTAAAAGGCATCATCTGCCCACAGCTGAGAAGTTTCTTGTTGCCATAGTTATCAAATGCAAGCTACAAACAGCACTGGGAAGAAAAATGCTGCCTTTTATATTCTGCACAACAATAATTAAAATGAATGGAAATACACTGAAATGCTTTCCATTCAAGAGTGCGAGAGAGATCAGTTCAGCTAAAAATACATTATGCTGAGTTCAGTATCTATGTAACATAGGCCAGGACCCAAAGAGCGGTTCTCATGTAAAGGATTTCTAATACCCCTGTGGAATGTTTTACATTTTTTCTCTTGAACCGTTGATTCCCCCTCCCCATATAGTACAATTAATTTAGTAACATTTAAAACTAAAGGAATGAACAAAGATTATTTCTTTGAGATTACACCATTATAATCTTCTCATTACAACTTCAAAAGTCATCAGTGTTAAGAAGCTCACATGTGTCTGAAAGGCAGCAAAAACGTAACTGCGGAACCAAAGGAGTAATTCTAAGTTCACATGCTAGTTCTAGATTCTTTTCCTGTAACATCCCTCTAAAAAAACAGATCTATCAATTATGAATGAGCACAAATGTACCTGATGCTGCAAAAACACATACAGCTCTAAAAGCATTCCTTCCCTATACAAAGACACCAGTATGTCTTGAGGTACACACAGCTCTTCCAAATACCTCTTGTGAAGTCATTCATTTTCAAAAAACAAGACTGGAAACTCAACTCAGTATGTGCAATTTACTTCCCCACAACCAAAATAACAGGATTCTACTACAGTTAAATTAAGAGGTTTTTAAAAAGATGATGTTTAATTGACACAGTGCTCAGTAGGGAAGCAACTGTGACTGTAGGTATTTTCTACAGATAAATCATCTTCACAATATTACACCAGTGGGTCATCTTGCCTCAATGAAGTGAAGCATGCATTACTGCACCTGACACATCTCACGTCTGTCTGACCAGCTTTCAAGAAAGTGGGTTCAGACTGGAGATCTTTTAGCATTAATATTTTATAGGAAGTTGATGTGAAGCCCACAGAGGAATTCAGGTTGAGCAGAGCCCAGGAACATGGTTTTTCCTAGAACAGTCTAAAGTAGGACGTGTGGCACAAAGAAACAGTTGGAAAATAATCCAATTTCTTCCTTTC